TCTCAACCCAGCTTCGGTCAGGAGAAAAGTTCTCCTGAGTCTCCTGCGATACCAGAGGAAGGTCTCGGCTGTGGAATTCTGCAGAGGGAAGGGAAAGTTAAGTGATTCCTGCAGCTACTCCCAGGTTTTTTAGCAGAGTTGTGGGAAGCCGGGGAGCGAAACTGTGGCAGCACCAGCTGCTTTCCTGAATGCAGAAATGTGACATTCAGTGGGTTCAGGGTTTGCATTCACCTCCGAGTCAGCCCTCCATCACCTTCTCCCTTTAACTCGCCTTTTAACTTGCTTTTATTTAGTTTTCTCTGTAATTTCCCCTTGGACAAAAGCAACAAAATCGAAAAGTGCAAGGAAAGACTAAAATCCCTCCTATATCACGGACAGTGCAGGGTGGTTGCAGCATTCCAGAACAGCACTTTAAGGCTTTTTCACATTCCCTTCATGAAAATGAAGATTTTAATCTCACTGTTTTGAAGAGGAAAGGGTAAATTTGGAAACAGTTGCCACAGAGCTGGAAAAATAGGAGCAGTCTAAGCTGTGTGTTTGCTGGATAAATTCACAATACCTCAAAACCATTTACTCGGAATATATATATATTTTTTACAGCAGGATCTGTGCATGCGGGAAGCCCAGCAAGGAGGAGAAGGAGGCAAGAGCTCAGTCTTAGCTGCTTCTCTGCTCACGTGCTTCAAGTTTTTATCTGTTTTTGGGCAGCCTTGTAGATGTGTAGGTTGGGCAAAGAGACTGAAGTTGCTAGGAATGGAAATAATGAGCCTGAGAACTCCGACACACTCTTTAAAAGGAATGAAATCTTACTTGCCTCCTAGATATCCAAGTAGTCTCCAGTCTGAATGTTACACAGCAGTTAATCACAAGAATAATAATATTTGTGGTTACTATTTCTGTAGCCAAGGCACCCTCGGAAGTTTGAGAAGAGGCAGGCGCGGAACGTTGTTTGGACTGCCTTTGCTGGAGTTTTTCTGCACAAACACAAATCCATCCTGGTGTGGAGCCCGTGCTTGTGTGTGTGCTATTGCTGAAGCACAGATGCTGCTCGGATTGAAAGAAAAGCTGCTCTGGTATCATCTGATTCCTGCAGCAGACACAGGGTTTGCAGCTCGATAAAGCTGTGTAGAGGAAGGACACGATCCCATCTTGCTTGTTCCACGTGTACATTGGGGAAAAACAAGGTGTTTTGGGTGCTCACACCACCCAGAGCAGCAGATTTGGAGAATTCCTGAAGAGGAAAGCACAATAGTTTACCACGCTTTGAGGTGTGGTTTGCTCACACAGCCCTCCTGTGGGGTAGATGCCTCTCAGGAGGTCGAGTCCTGTGTGCCATCATCCTGAAAGCCCTCAAAAGAGTCCTCAAAAAGCAGTTGTTTTGGGTAAATTCCCCCCTTTGCAGTTAGAGCAGTGTGGTCCACGCATGTTCCAGTTTTGGTACCAGTGAAGCAGTGACCCCGTGGATAGGAAGAGACCAGCAGTGTCACGTGGATAAAGGCTGCAGGTCTGCCCTGAGCTCATGGGGCTCGGAGTAGCAACAGACTGTGTGACCAGCGAGCAGTAAACACACCAAATGCATCATGAGCAGCTCTTAAGATCTAGATGTTTGTGGTTATCTTGAGAGGAGGAGAGAGCATGACTATAGAGGCAGTCCGTGCGAGTGTGGGGTGGTCTGAACGCCAGCATTTTCCTATGAAGAAATGCAAAAAATGATCCTGCTTTGTAGCTTTTCCTCACTTAACCCGTTACTGAGGTCTGGCCGTTTCGTAGTTTGCTGGGATAAGTAACTGCTAAAGTCTTGCAGAAAACTCCTGGGTCCAAGTAAAAGCTAGAGGAGTGACACAGTGTGCATCAAAGACATTTTACTAGATGGATTTTTAGAGACTTTTGGTGTGATGGGTGAGCTTTGAAAATGCGTTGCTCAGAACTGAAAAATGAAATGAGTGAAGGCTGAGGTTGTCGTTCCTGAATTTGCTGCCAAAGGCGCAGACCTGCTCAGTTTTGTGTGAGGTGACAGCCCCACAATGCAGAAAAAGGCCATTCACCCTAATTTGCCTGAGGGAGGCATCTGTATTTCTCCAAGACACAGAAGCAAGTCTGTTGTGTTCTGTTATAAATGATTGCCACGGAGATCCCAAATCCATGGAGAGCGATAAATCAGGAAATTCCAAGGCAATCCGGTCTGCCTCACAGAGATGATGTCCAGGAAAATGGCCAGAGGAGCTGGAGCTAAGGGACTAGATGTGTATGTCATCACTGAATGTGGATCAGAGAAGCTAGGTTTTGTTTTCCATTTTTTTTGCTTGCTCCAGTGTCTACAAATAAGAGGAGAAATTTCTTGGATGCTGATTTGTACAGTTTACCCAAGACTTGCAGATCTTTTTCCTGTGCGGGTTCTACCAGGACCTTAAGAACATGCATTATCTGATGAAGAAGCACCTCACTGTTGTGGTTGCAGGAGAGGTGATGCTCAGTACTGCTTCTTTGAGGGGTATGATGAGACATGTCCTTGGATGGATGAATTTCTGGAAAATTTGCTAGACCTGCCTGTCTTGCAGGCTGGTTGGCACCAAACAGCCTCCCTTCAGGACCAAGTTTGAGACTGTGAAAGACTATTTCCCTCTGGCACAGATAGTGCCAGTCACTGTGACATGTGAGGGAGAGGGTGACATAACGTGGGGTTTTCAGGACCTCCCTGTGAGCAAAATACCCCACTGGGACCACTGAGTTTGCACTGCAGTTGTTGATAATCTCCATTTTAGAGATGGGAATGCAGCCACACTGCAAAATCAGGTGCTACTGTGAGCTGAAAGTAAGTTGGGAAGGGAATTGCTGCTAAAAATCCCTGGAATCTTTGATCTTTTTACAGAAAACAGTGTCTTTGTAGCTAAAATGCAGATACACAGATTTTTCCCCATTCTTTGTTGTTGTTCAGCTCTTGAATACTGAAGACCTCGTGCACATTCCTATGGCCAAGGAACCCACTGAGCCTCGTCCTCTGCTGTGCCTCTGCAATCCAGACCCGCACAAACTGCAACGTGTTCATGGAGGAGAAGCTGTTTATTCCAGTGAAGGTAACTTTGTTAACAGAAACCAAACTAATAGGTGGGATTTGGTGGCGTCCTCTGGTCGCCACAGAGGTGGAGGTGCACGGGGCTGCTCTCAAAGCATTTTGGAGCATTTGGAGCAGGTTCCAACCCTTGCGGCTCTCGTGCCCTGGAAGGAGGCACTGCCCTGGCTTACTCCTCAAAAGGACTTTCCTCCATCTCTGCTTGACTCATCTGAAAAGAGAAAGCATTAAGGTCATCACAACATAATCTGCTTAATCGTTGGTGTGTATTAATGGTTCAGGGACTAGTATTTACGGATTGAAGGAATCTGAAATAGTTGAATTGTTTGGAAGGATGCACTTCCCTAGAACTCCTTCCTACTTTCCCTAGGATGCTTAATTAATGCATGTTTGCTGTCTTTAACAGCTTTTCCCATTCAGAACATTTACAAAATTGTAGTAAAATTCTTGTATTGCCTGACCTCAGCAGAATTCATTTACCTGCATTTCATCAGATCTGGCCCTTTTAGACTCCTGTGACCTGTTCAGAGTCAAACATGATGCACTGACAGCAAAGGTGGGAGATTTAGCATACACCTCCTAGATTACCCTTTTCTGCTCTCATTTATTTTGTGAGTTATGCTAATACTCTGATAAAAATCCCGTTAACCTTGTTATCTGTTCAAGTGAGCAGTCTTTGCTGCACGTTGAATGCTTGATTTCATCAGCTCCTTGTGACAGTGACTGCCATACTTTAATTAATCGACTAGTTTTTACTGCCTGTCTGGTTGAGTTTATGTTTCTGAGATGTGAGAACAGACATGTGGCATAGGCTTCTTCAGTGCTATTTAAAGAGAAATATGGCTTTTCCCCCCACTTTTTTTTCCTGGTCCAAATCTCTTGCAGTTTAGGCTTGTGTGTGCCTGTTCTGTCTACAATAAATGAGAAAAACAATGCATGAATTGTGGTTCCCTTGCATGCATTTGAGGGTTATATCAAATATCCCCTCAATCATCTCTTCAAATCAAACAATGCAAATTATCATTTTTTTCCTTGAAATTCATAAATCCCAGCAGTCTCTAAATACATTCCTCATTTTGGAGAGATCTTGGATTTATCCTAGTGCAGACAAAATTCTTGGTGTAATCACGAAGCAAGTCTGAATACAGCTCGAAGCAAGAAGCCAAATTCATTCCTGTTGATGTGAACCTAGTGTTTTTATACGCAGCTTTCTGCAGGTGTGCTGCAAGGTGTGTGTGCTCTTTGGATGTGTTTTCATTAGCTGTTTTCAACATGCACTGGAAGAACTTGGAGAGCAAAGTTTACCAAGAAAGGAAAAAGGTTAGGAATATACTCAGAGGTTACATTTTTTTTCCCCAAATCCCTCAAAAATCCTTTTTCTAAATTGGTGGTGGGATGGCACCACTTACTCTCTTCGGTGGCGGCGGCTTCTTACTTGGTTTTCTGTTTCTTCTAAATCGGCATCTATAATGTAAAGTAGAAGTGTTCTGTGAACATGAACTTTGGGTAGTGGTTTCATGCAAAATAAGATGCTCTCGTCTGTGAATGAGCACCTCGTGCAAAATTTTGGGTGTTTTTCTTTGAAATCATGTTCTGCGATCTGGATTTTTAAAATAATAACTAGAACTCCGTTCACCAGTGTAATATTGATGAAAGATGATTGTGTTAAGGAGAGAAAACTTTATTATATCCGCTCTGCTCTTTAATATAGGATAGAGGTAACTAAACTGGCTATAAATGAGATAACTGGATGCCAGACAGTCTTGCTGCACAGAGCAGAACAAACCTCCATGTGATTTTATCCTATTTCTTGGCAGAATAAATGAACCCAACACATCTCAAGCATGTGGATGTGCAGAGATCATCTAAAAGAGTGTTGCCTTTCAAGTTCTGATTTGTCCCTGGCCAGAGCCGTGTTCACATATTATTTCAGCTAAGCTTACAAACCACTGGGCCCAGAACAGCAAGGTAAGCAAGTGTTTATCCTGCACACACTATTTTACAGTCTTTCTTTTTCAACTTTTGTGTGTTTCAGTAAATAAATGTAAAAATAAATGAAAATTAACCCTCAGGAAAAGAGAAAAAGACGAGCTATTTAGAAAAAGCGGAACTTTCCAAAAATTTGTTCTGAAATCAGGCAAAATTTGTATTTCAAAATTTCTGTGGGAAACTTTTAAAGACATTATGCTGCATTAAAAATAACTGGGGGCCTCAGCTGCCATTTCTGCATTCCAGGTAATTGTGACAAAGAGACCAGAGTACATTTGGTTGTGTTACCTTGAAATGCTGGGAGCCCTGATTGGAAATTGTTAGAAGTGCCTCAGTTTTGCCAAATAATGTAGCGAGGGAAGGGGTTTTACCTACCTCTGAAACAGCTGGGAGATCTCAGCCCTCTTGCACAGCAAAACACTCGAAACCAACAAGAATAAAAAAAGCGCTCCGAAGGTTTTCCCCATATTCCTTGCAACTCCCTCCACTGGAATGAGAGAGAGGGAGAACGTTTTGCTCCGTGCACCTTGGATATTCCCGACACAGAAGCAGTGCTGGTGGAAATGGCAGTTTATGGTATATGTGCACGTGTTCATGGATATAGGTGCTCGCAAGCCCGCGTGAGCTCTACTTGGAAATACCCAACTACAGTGCTGAAATGTGAGTAACATGAACGGAATATCTGCTAATGGTTGATCCATTACAGGAGAGAGGATGTGGAGTCCTCATTCTTGGAGATATGTGGGCAAAACACCCTACTGAGCTGGACAACCTGCTCGATCTGATCCTGCTCGAGCAAGTGGATTGAACCAGATGATCTCCAGAGGTCCCTTCTAACACCAGCTGTTCTGCACTTTTATGATTCAGTGATAACACTCGTTGGAGTAAATTGGTAATCAGGGAAATGCATCACACGGGGCAGCAGGAGCTGAGGGAGGGCGCGGAGAAGGGAGCTGTGTCCCAAAAGCACAGAGAGACCACAGAGGTCGGAAAGAATCTGACATGACTAAATGGTGAGGGAGAAAGAGAAGTTTGAGTGATGTCGTCTGAGTGAACAGATGAAAGGATAGATGGAGAATTGCTAAAGTTGACCAAAAAAAAAAAATAAAGGTAAGAAAGGCAGTGGGATGTGCAGAACGGTCCCATTCCACAGCACTCACGGAGAAGGGAAGGAGGTGGCCCACTGTCGACACTGCCTCCAAATCCTTCCAGTTTGCAGTCTGGAGGCGCCCACCCAAAATCACAGTGGCAATTCCTCTTATTGTTGCACACCTAAAAGAAAAGAAAAATATTTTAAGGATAAAGAAATCATGCCCTGGCCCTGTGTTTCTGCAGCAGAAAGGCTGCCAGCACATGGCAGGGGCAGCAGAGACAGGCTGTAGGAAACACGGAGCCTAAAGTTTTTTTCCTCGTGTTTTAACTGCTGCTATGACAGTATTTAACTTATTTTGTGCAAAGATGATAGCTGCTGCCCAGGGTCACGGCTGTCATGGGATTTATGACTTGTACCTCTCATTAGATGTCTGCCCCATCAGTGAGCTGAGGGCAGTGGCAGTCCTTGATCCATCACCTCATCCTGTCACTGAAGTGATGGGCAAGTGGAAGACATTACAAAAAATCCATGTGTGAACTAACGATGCCAGTCTGAATATCTGAAATGCCCATATTATGTAGGAATAAACACAGCCACAATGTATGAAATCTGCCATTTCTTTAGCATTTGCAAATGAAGTTTTTTGGACTTTTTTCTCTAATTCTGGCTAATTTAAATTCAGTAGCACAGACAGGTGCGAGGAAGGATGCAGAGCTTCGATGTGGAAGTCGGCTTTCACTTTGAGCAAAAGCAGAAAAATGGGAAAAAAGAATACAACAAACTGCAGTTAAGAGTGCTGAGCACCTTCAGAACAGAATTTGGGAGGAGAGTTGTTGGCAAACAACAAAGTAAACTGCATTGCTGAAGGAGGAGCCATTCTGAACTTCTAACTTTGCTTTTGAGGTACTGCACACGGATTAACAGTTCATAAGTTCTGTTTTTTCAAAGGATATTTTCTGCTTAAATGTTTTCTACTTACCCCTCTGCCACTGCATTTTTTATCTGTACAGTCATAGTTGAGATACAATGTGCTGACACATGTCCTGTTCAAGCATATCTGCAAAACCAGACGATTATATGAGTGAAATGGTGAGAGGACAGCAGTTAGGAAAGAACACTGATGGTGAACAGGATGAAAATACCAAGAAACTGCCTGGGGCTACAGAGAGTGTATTGCGTGCCCAAACTTGGAAGATCTTCATAGCTCCAGGAGACGCAAAAGCCTCTCCTCTGGGCAAGAGAAAGGAGGAAATGTATTTTCAACTTCTTGGTTTCCAAGTGAGTTGTTTTGGGAAGGAATGGTCCCTCTGGTACTGTGAGATCTACCTCTCCTGGAAAGGCAACCCTAATGAAATTGAAACTCAAGAGCTCCTTCAAAACCCTTTTGGTGGAACTTAGCAACTCTGTTTTTCTTAGCAGTGTTTTTTGCTCCCATATAATAGCAGGAAACAGATACTTGAACATGTCGCGTCCTTGACCAGAATTTGGTCAGCTGCATGGATCATTAGGTCTACTGCTATTCTTGGAAGAATGTTTAAAGTTTTCTCATGCACATATACAGACTTTGACCTGGGGCTTCTCTCTGAGATCAAGAACATTTTTAGGAACAAAATCCCTCCGTTTAACCCTTCCGTCTTTCTAAGGGTACCTTGTTTCTACCACACGATGTGCCGTCTTTCACTGATCCTTCATCATATGTGTCTGGAGCCTGATGAAATTCCAGGCCCCAACACAAGTTGTTGTTCACGGTAGTCTGCACCACGGTGTCGCCGTCCTTCCTCACCGGTATCTTCTTGATGTTGACACACTGCACTCTTCCACACAGGATGTTCCTGAGATAGCAAAACAAGCCTCTCTGAGCACCCTTTGAACCCCTCTCTGAATTCAGCACTTTCATTTCTGTTTCTAACCCTCTCTTTCCATGTGTTTTGCGCATTACGTGTGTAGAGTGGCAATGCTGATATTTATGCCCCAATCTTGCTCGGCTCCTGGATACCTTCTGCATATTCATACTGGATACCTGGATATTCATACTTTGATAACAACCACCACCACTTACTCTTCTAGACATTTAGTGTAATACGTCCCGTTCCAGCCACAGTTGCCACATCGGTCACCTCGGACGTTCACTTCCCTGAAGCAGCTCAGCGGGGCACGTCGGGCAGCTGTGAAGCAAGAGAGAAAAGTCAGGAGCCTGTGGAAAGAGAGGGTCTATCAGCACCCAACCTCTTCCCTCCTGATTTTTGTGATACCATGTTCTAATGAACCATCGGAACGTTGCGGAGCCCTTCTGATACCACATTCTAATGAACCATCGGAACGTTGCGGAGAAAATTTCCAAGTCTCGAGGTACTCCTCCCACTGCAAATTGAAATGAAATTTCTAATCTCCGTGTGCTGGTGAAGGAAAAGGGAGTTTTTCCAAGTTGGTTATAAAGCACCCTCAGTCCCTCTTCCATTTTCACCCTCACAGTTTCTAATCCAGGCTCTGATCATCTTTTAAGCAACAAAAAACACAAGATTGAGGACACAGCTATAAGAAATGTCCTACTGCCCAATGGATGTGGGGCCAGACCAGTGCTCTGAGGAGCCTGGGTGCCTCCAACGCTCCCCTGGGACATGGTATTTAAGGAGAACATCCGAGCAAGGCTTCCTGATTGTGTAATCCATAATCACGTCGCCCTCAGCCTTTTCTTTCCAACCCAAAGCGTCCGCATTTTTAGTCTCTTTGCGTCTGTCTTTGTAAGACCGTCCTCCACCCGCCTTGCCTATTTTAATCCTCTTTCTCCAGATTTTCCTTCACTCTAATTGCGCAATACTCCAATAATACTTTTTAAAACACCCAGTGATTTTACGACAATAGTCATATAAAAAGATAGAGCAATAGCAGCCTATAAGCAATGAATCTGCAGCCACTGTGGAAAAAAAGCAGACTCCTTCAAAGCAGAGGAAGAGGCACCGAGAGGTGACACAAGACTAACTGTTGTCTTAAGGAGAGTGCTAATTCTGGCACGACAGGGCTTGCCTTTGCCAAACAAAGCCTTGCACTGCGCCTCGTGGTTGCGGCAGTCCCCCTCGTAGCAGCGGTCGTTGTCACCGCAGGGGGTCCCGTCTTGCTTGAACACGTCTGCGGGGCAGGAGGCAGAGCTCCCGTTACAGTACTCGGGCAGGTCACAGGCGTTCCTGGTGTCTCTACATAACCTTCCTGCTGTCTGGAACTGGAAAAAACAGCACAAAAAAGCTAAATATAAGTGTTGAAGTTTCTTTGTCAAGAAGTCTGACAGTGTAATGACTGGCAAGGGCCTAGGGGGACAGTAAACAAGGGGACAGTAATCATGGCAGCTAACTAAGAGCTTTGCAAGCAATCAGGTCCTTGTTTCAGCCTACAGCACGAAGCCGAGAGCGGTTGTTGGTGCTACAGCGTACCTGGCACTTGTGACAACAGTCTCCTCTATAGCAAGCAGCCCCGTGCGCCAGCAGGCAGGTGGAGGGGAGGCAGCAACCTTCTTGGAGACACGTCTGCAAGGAAATAATCACGGAATCACAGAGTCATTAAGGTTGGAAGGGATCTCCAGGGATCCCCCCGTGCAGCCCCTGCTCCAGCAGGGACACCCAGAGCACGGGGCACCCGGGCGCATCCAGGCGGGTTGGAGATCTCCAGAGCAGGAGACTCCACAGCCTCTCTGGGCAGCCTGTGCCAGGGCTCCGGCACCCTCACACCAAGGAAGTTCTTCCTTAAATTCCTGTGGAACTTCTGGTGCTTCAGTTTGTGGCCGTTTCCTCTTGTCCTATCGCTGGCCACACGGCACCGTCTCAGCACTAGAGTTGCTTACTGGGATAATCAGCTCTGAAGATCATATTTTTTTGAGATTAAGAAACATGGCATTAAAGGAGATTAACAAAAAACATCTGCCATTTTCTGCCACTCTAAAGTCTAACATATCTCCTTGTCTATTTTTATTCTTTTTTTATTATTTCTTTTTCCAGGGAGTTCTGCATCAAAAAGAAATCCTGATTGCACATGTGGAGCAGGCTTCACACAGGTTTCCTATGGCTATCTGTGCTCTAGAACATGCTTAAATTAAAGTTTCAACACAGATTTTGCATGGAATGCACGAAGTCATTTGAGAATCTTCGAAACACCTATTCATTAGTTGTTTGCATCGGGAGTGCTCATCCTCTGACCCCTGTCACTTCATCATGCAGGATATTTGGGGCATCAGGTGCACAGCATCAGTGCAACAACCAGGCTTTGGGTGTCCGTGGTCAGTCAGGAGACTCCTTTAAAACAATGCATCATTTTTTTTCCCCAATATTAATGCTTCCATCTCATATTCTGTGCTAATCAGCCCGTCTACCTGCTTCACAGTGCTGCTCCTAGGCTAGGTTAATTAGTATTGACAAAGCACTTAGAAATCATCTTGAGCACAACAGAAGAGATTAATCTGCCCTTCTATCATTTTCACTGTTTTTCCTCCTTTCCTTCTTTTCCCTTTTTAACTCTTTCATCAGTAACGATTTTTTGACATTCCTAATTCCAAATCATTGGAGCTGATGGACTCTGAACTTTGTCATGTGAATAAAATTACTATAATTTTAAGGATACCTGGAACATAAGGATATCTGCTTTATACAGATAGCTGGTTAATGGCTTTTCAGCACAAAAGCCAGACAGGAGGTGGGAACAGTTACAAACTCATCATCACCCAGATGCACAAACCCTCACAAAGAGGAGGGTAGTGGAGACATTAGCAAAGACCAGAACTCTTGGGACACTGATGGATGGACCAATGCAGGAACTACTCAAGTACAATCTTGAGGAGGTTCAACCAGAACTTGGTAACTAATAAGAAGAGGGGAAAAAAGATTGATGCAGATCTAGAAAGACCAAACTTAATATGTGGCAGTTTGCAGGGAATGTAGGACTGTATGAAACTTACTGTAGGTTGTTTCAAGGGGATTTTGGGGATGTGCAAAGCTTTTTCTGAGATGGTTACAAGAACGAAAAGCAGGAAAAGGGAGAGGTTGAGGTGGATCGGGAAGGAACAAGCAAAGGAGAACAGTGAGGAGGGGATCAAAGGGGTTGGTTGTGTGTAAGGAAGCTCCTGGTCTGTGCTTGGGTGGTTGAACCCTGTGGTCTGTCCAGTCTTCTTATTAAACTCCACTAAATTCCTGTTCCTAGCGATTTTCGGAGTGAGAGTGCTCAATACTTGATGTGTATGTGTGTGTACGTGAGCCACTAACCAACTTCAAGCTTCTACTTTTTTTCTAACAACATTTTTGAAAACAGCTGGACCCTTTTCACCAGGGAGATGAAGGATGCTCAAGTCAGGCCTGGGTATAATACACATGCAGCTCTCTCATGTGGGAAACATAAGTACAAAGACTAAATTCTGGCTAAGTTACAAACCAGCTACAATAACAATTACACAAAATGCAAACAAGAATTCCTCCTGGGAAACTCAGCTTTTCTTGAGTGTTGTAGGGGCCTGGTTCCTAGAATTACGGCTGTGAGGATAAAAACATGCAAGAATGCTCTTAAAAGCACTCTTACAAAACCCTTCCACTGACCTCAGGGTAAATATAATAGAAGAAAGAAATAGAATAACTAGAGAAGACGATGGAAATATGGCAAGTAGAAACGATGTGTCTGTAGATGGAGCAACTTGTCAGCAGAGGTGTGTTCCTCCTGTGGAGTCTCCTGCTTTGATGTAGCACTTCTCAAATACTTTTATTTTCTTCAAATCTTTTATACCTATGAGCATTAGCACAATCAGAAGAAAACTGCCTTCCAGGTTGGGTGAGATATGGAGAGATTTTGCTTCTGGGCTAGCAATGGAGCTGCTCTTCTGTGCCTCATGGATTCCTTATTGGATACTTGCAAAGAGAGTCTTGGTCTGCATGGAGTCTGCTGCAAAAGCTCTCTCTGTAGTTATGCAAAACCCCTTGAATTTAACTCCAGATATGCTCTGCATGCGTTTGCACAAATAATAAGCATTTTGATAGCACCAAATTTGGGTCAACTCCCGCTTCAGGAGTCAGCAGAGGTGGAAGCCACTGAGCTCATCCGAGTGTGGGACTCTCCACTGATCACTCCTCCCCATGACTCATCTTTAGAGTTGAGACACCAGAATTTGAGTAACACAACAGTGCAACGTAGATTGCAGTGCAAGCTGCAATTACCTACCTCATCCCTGCCACAGTCACATTCTTCCTCTTTTTCCAAGACACCATTGCCACAGTGATCAGAAAGAAACGGTTTCAAGGATGGTATGTTGAGAAGACACGGTCGATTTTTGGTTACTACTTGATCATAATATTCTCCCATAGTGCAGTTACTGAATGCAAAGCAGGATCTATAGGAAAATAAAAATACTAATTATATATAACCATGCCACACACGTATAATAATTGGTGGACTCAAAGGACGGCAGGTAGATTAGCTGGGAAACAGAAGTATGGGAGAATATGGGAGAAATATGGGAGTTTTAGGGAGACAAAACATTTCCTCACACCTGTTTTCTCTTATAAAGAAGTGGGAGACAACAACGCTCTGTTGATGAGCAAGTTTCTGGTAGTGAAGGCGCAGGAACTGAGACATCACAATGACCAGAAATGGAAACTGTGGGACATTTGTTAATTCTGAATGACACATGGAAGAGAAAAGGGTTGGAAGATGGAAGCACCATGGACAGGGTGGTATCAGGTGCGAGTTCTTCCAAACACCTGGAGAGGAAATCACTGCATTTGAAAGAAAGGAATCCAATTGCTTTTATCAGAGAATAAATAGAGAAATCAAACATACTAGATAATAGAGAAAGTACTAGGCTAGAGAAGCTACATATAACTGGCATGCTAACCAAGGGAAATAATGAGCTACTTGAATAACGAGCTATTCATGAAAGTGCAGAAGTGGGTGATGATGGTTTCCAAAAGCCAAGCTTATTCCATAGACAAAATTTTGTAAAAGAAATTTAAAGCAGTTCACGATCATCCGAATGAAAAAGAAGAAAAGCTGGAGGAAGATGGTAACATAAAGAGAACGGTGCAGATATCAAAGAAAGTGTAGATGGGACCCAAAACTAAATAAGAGCTTGTGCTCGGGTTTGGCAGGTGTGATGTCAGGCAGCGTTTCTAGGACATCAGAGTGGTTCAAATAAGTAACAAGACGGTGCAGATACCTTAGTGCCATGCTAATGACTTCTATATCTTTAGGGACGCTTGGGTTTGGCAGGTGTGATGTTAGGACATCAGAGTGGTTCAAATAAATAACAAGACTGTGCAGATACCTTAGTGCTATGCTAATGACTTCTATATCTTTAGGGAGAGGAATGGTCAGACAAGATCGACTAGGAGCAAGAGTTGACATCATGGGCTAGGTCAGAAGCAGTAACAGATGACAAGGAGGGATGAGCTGGAAATACATTTGCCAGGGATATACACAAACTCGAGTTATTAATATGGATATGGAAATTACTGCAATCAGAGTGCGTGCAAGAGTCACACTATTTTCCAAACATATCAAGTACTACGCATACAGGAATTAGGGAAGAAGGGCTGTCTAAACTCAGAGATCTGGAAACAGATTCATTTAATCAGTGTGTTAAGACAATAAGGTTGCTATTGGAATGGATAACAGCAGAGGCTGAAGGGTTAGAGATCCATGAATTGCAATTCTCCATTTGCGGAAGCTTTTACCCTAGCCCTGGTCTGCTGGGTTCTCCATCACCTTGAAGTCACCAAGGAGGAACTGTCAAGGGTTGAATCAGAACTGGTGATGGCCCCATCAAAATGGCTCTTTCTGTGCCGTTATTATTGAGGCAAACACAAATTTGGTAGAAGACTTCAGCTTCTCAAGTCATTTCCATCTATTTGGAGGCTTAGTCTCTGAGAAAGAGAAGGGTTTAAAATTGTCAGGAGCAAGGGTAGAGCCTGCTGCTCTCATTTTTGCAGTATGTGCATTTCAGAGAGTGGAATAGAGATGAGGCATTTTTCATCCCAAGAAAAGTCTTTTCCAAGAATCCAAAATGAAGCAGCTGTCATGGCCTGGTGAAGTTTGCTAGATCTTGGTGGACTTCAGAGCTAAGACGGATGATTCTTTTCTATTGACGTTGTCACAGACCATAAGCATTATCCATAACATCGGGAGCTGACCACAGGAATGTTCCTGCAGTATGATATGGTTATTTTGCAGTATCGTATGGGTACTTTGATGCTGAAACAGCAGAGGTTGGTGTTTGAAAAGTATCTTTGGGAGGTATTTCATGAAAGAAAAATAGGGGGGAACAAAAAGACCAGCCTAAGATGATGCCTATGAAGGCATCTTGTGGGTGAACTCAGCCCTTAGAGATAGGAGTGATTTCCTGGTGCCTTGGGGAGCATGAGGAAGAGGAGAGCAGGTACCAGGAATGCTCCTTCCCTGCCCAAGGGGCTGTTTCTGGCATATATGTTTTCACAGGTGGCAACTGTGAGGAGGCCAGCGCAAGAGGAAGGGGTGCTGTAAGCCATCCACCTGCAGGGAGCTTCAAAACCAGCGAGAAGGAGCTAAAAACAAGCTGGGGATTGGGGAAAGCGCGCTTAAAATAAATGAATGGCAAGATTTTCTGTGTCCAGGGGAGCCACGAAGCCAAGGGAGAACTGAGGTCTCCTTTTATCTAAATATCTAAATTCATAAAATTTTTAGGAACTTGACAAAAAATAATTGGGTCATTTAAGCTGGAAAGGAGCTCTGGAAGTCTACATGAGGCCAGACCAACATCTCCAACTTCCATTCCTCTGCCAAGGTGGGCTGGGACTGAATTTAAGGATGCCGTGGAGCAAGGGACATACACAAATCCCTCTGGAAATGGAGCAACGGCAGCAGCCTGATTTTATTAAGAAACTCAGTTAGAAAAAAAGGAAATTACTGCCAGCAGGGAGCTGGATCTCCCCCAGAGCCATGAGAATGGAGCTGTGCTCACCCCGGAGACGTCCGCATGATGCATCCTTGCCGAGTGCAGTTGCAGTTGCAGCCTCTGTCCTGAAATACTTTGCTGTCGTCGTGGCTGAAACCCAAACTGTGGCCCATCTCGTGAGCGAGGGTGATCACGTTGCTGACGGTGTCTCGTCCAGGGAACTGCATGGGGGAAGGAAAAGCAGAGGCACATGTTTTCCAGAGAAAGGGAATATCGACGCCGAGAACTTCACGTCCAGCTTTTAGGGGTTTGCTCGGAAATTTGGGAAATCTGTGCTAGCCGGGGACTTGCAAACCACCATTAAGGACCCCTAAACAGAATAGTTCTAGCGGAGCATTAGAGAATGATCCTTTTCCTATCTCATCTTTAAGAAAAGACAGCAACAGAATCAACATTATCTCATTTAGATGCCCAATTTACATGTTGATAATCAGTAAAAGTCTGCCCCCAGGAGGTGTAGAATTAAATCTCAGGCTCTTCTGTAGAGATTCGATATAGTCAGATCATTCCCAGCACTCACATAATAATAATTTCAGCAGAGAGTGATCAATCAGAGGCACTTTTATTCCTAAGTGTAGCCAGTGCCGTCTGTCTTTTGCAAAGTAGTCAAGGGGTTAGTTGCCTTATTAACTAAGAAGACTAACAGCTAATTAACAGCTAAGAATTCAAAATGACAAACTCCCCACATTAGGGTAATGCGATAGGGTAAAGTGCCCAGCCGCTTGCCCCGACCCAAACTATAAATACACTGTGGAGTACCGAGTCCTTGGGCAAAAATATGGCCAAAAATGTATTAAACTCAATGATGAGATAACGGCTCCGTGTTGGGGCGGGTAGTAGAAACCCTCCAATTTCTCCTTACCGAGACAACACCCATGGAGTTCATCTGACATATGGTCCCTTTCCAGGCAAATCCTAGTTCCTTGTAGTACTGACCACTGTAACATAAAAGTTTGGAGCGTTAAAAAAATATAAACCAACATTGTCTCCAGAATAGGATACATTGCCTAAATTAGAGTTGGAAAAGAATAGTTTCAGGCAACGTTTGTCATCCAAACACACCGCCAAGCTGGACGAGCCATGCAGCAGCCATGGGCACATCTCTGCAAAGCAATGTCTGATTTTAGAGATCTTCCTAAAAGTTAGCAAACAACAGGTAAGGAAACTCAGTGCTTATCATAATTTCCCAGCGATTCTGGATGCAAGGGAACATAGAAAGAGGTTATGCCAATAAAATGCAATTATTCAAAATGGTTTTAGAAAGATTTGACAGTATATGTTGGATTTGTAACAAAAATATGCAGTAAACTTGAGGTATGCATTTTATCATGCTAAAGATTCCCCCTTAAAGAGAAGAGAACAGTCAGAGCAGCAACAAAACGATAGGTCTTAAAAACCAAGCGAGTGAAATAGGTACTGTCTTGTTTGAGGTTTAACACCATCACCTTAGGAAGAAGGTTTAGCTTAAATTGTTAGCTATAAACCATATAATGCTGAATTTGGGTATCTAAAAAGGAGCGGCTAGCATGTGTGCAAAAATAAGTAGCTTGAAAGAATTTGGTTATTCTGATTTAAAGAAATGGAAGACTGGAAAAAGAGACTGACAGAGTGTAGATTAATAGTCAACATGCTTAAAATCCCTCTTGCAATAGATTATGAACTAAGATCTCTGCTAAAATCCCTCTTGTAATAGACTATAGGCCAATAGGCTATTTTAAATCCCATATGTATCAATTTAAATGCATACTTGTTAGTGTATGGATTAATTAAGATATGACATTGGGATATCACCAAGATGAAAAAAAAAGCCAAAATTTTTGACAAAAGATTTGAAAAATAGGGGAAAATAGGGAAAAATAGTCGCCCTGCTTATGTCTCCAGAACCAGTATGTGAGCTGAGAGGTGAAAACGGAGGAGTCTTACACAAGCAGCTCGATATGGTCATAGTTAATGCGACCTACGGCGTCCCTCTGGCACCACATGGAAAAAAACTGCAGCGTCTGGGCCAGGTCCGGGGTGATGGTCGTGTGGTCCATGTCGTTCCACATCTCCACGGCGCTGATGACGATGTGCAGCTTCATGGGGCGGTAGACCTGGAAGCGGAGACCGCGTCGGGCGGGTGTTCGTGCCAAAAAACACCCCTATCAGCTGCTGTTTGCTTTATTTTAGGGCCTTGTATTAACTTATTAGGGTTTACTGCCTGGCTCGTTTTGGCTTCCCCATGGCTGAGTCGGTGGCTGATGCGGCAGCATTTTTTCAGCATAGCCACATAGGAAAAGCAGAAGAGGAAAACTGATGTTTCTGAGGGCTCAAAGCAAGGAGGGGATGAAGGGAAAGGGCCACGAGCGAGCAGAAGGCGTTTAATAACATGGTGTATATTCCAAACCAAGCTTTTTAAAGGGATATTTTCAAAATATTTTAAACTAGCTTCACTCGCACTTGAAACAATTTTTAGCAGTTGAAGCAGGTTTTGTGCCATTCAAGAACACGTCGTTTTCTTGCAGAATAACTCTAATCAAACATAGATTATTCATTATCTCTTAGACAAAGCACCGCATTTAGCAGACAACCAATAGAGCAAAACGGCCATCACGGCGATTCACTCCTTAAACTCACCGTGTTCAGGATGTTGTTTATGGAAAGGATGAGATGTAACATCAGGGTCTCATTGTAGTGATTCACTTTGAACTGAAAGAAGGTAAGTGTTACAATCTCAGGATTCAGACAGAAATCCAGCATTGATTGCTCACCCCTTCTGTGTCTTCAAGTGTTACAATCTCAGGATTTAGACAGAAATCCAGCGTTATGGTGAACATTGATTGCTCACCCCTTCTGTGTCTTGATCAGCTATTTCCCATCCTAAATCCCATTTAAACGCATCAGGCATAACTGTGTTGTGGAATTTCCAGCACTGCTGCAGGTCAGTGAACCACACAATTCTGGGGGGAAAGCTCTGTGCATTGATGAGAGCTTCTGGAGGTAACTTCTCAAATATATATATACACATGGGCTGAGTACAAGCAGTTCCTCTTCGTGGCAAGGAAATGTACTGCCAGAAGAAGTGTATTCACACAGCAGGATTAAATACGAAGAGCTAATTCCAATATAGCCACCCAGTCCCAACAAAGTCCCGTGGCTGTAACTTGGTGACACTTACCAGCTCTTTGTTTGTTACGAGAGCTAATTCCAAATATTTGATGGACACCTGCAACTCGTGAAGATTGGAAACTTCCTGGAAGTGAACAAATCACAGCAACACAGTAAACTCAGGAATCTTTAAACTCAGGAATCTTTAACCTCAGGAATCTTTAAACTCAGGTAAACTCAGGAATCTTCAAGTGTATGCCAAATTGCAGATCAATGGCAAAAAGCAGGTGGCATTATCAACAAATTCAGGATTTCCCTGGTGTTGATAAATGGAATACAAGACACCCTGTGCGAATTACGTGTTAAAGAAGGAAAAGGATTCATGGGTGCTGAGCCTTATCAGGGAGAAACCTGAAATATTCAGGGCAGAATACAGTAACGGGTCAGCTATCCTTGGCATGAAGTGTAATAAATGGCACTGCTCATATTTGATATGTATATATGCACACACACATTAGTTATATAATACATTATATATATATAATACTATATATATTATACT